CACATCCTCGCCATGGACACCTTCGCCCGCGCCCTCAGGAACGCCGCCCGCATGATCTCAGACGGATTCTTCGCTCGCAGCCTCCAGCAGGTACGATGCGCTCGTTTCTTTTTTACTTGAATATCAGACCATTATGTTACGAAGAAAGAGATGCATAAGGAAAACAACTTGGCAGTTTAATAACTTCATTTATACTTATTCTGCCCTGGAAAATAAAATCTATCACTGTTGTTTTATAAAATAATATCAACTCTGTCGGCACCGCCACTGACCTCTCCCGCCCCTCCCCTCAGCGCTACACAACCTACAAGTCTGGCTACGGCGAGCGCGTCGAACAGTCCTCCATGAGCTTCGAGGAGTGCGAGGACTACGTGCGCAAGTGCGGCGAGCCTCAGCCCCAGTCCACGCGCTGGGAACACTTCGAGAACATGTTCAACTACTACGTGTATCCGCCACGCCAGTAGAATCCGTCGGCTGACACCCGCGGCTGTAGCGTAACCACACACCACACGCACGCACACGAAGATAGACACACACACACGCACATACATACATACACGCACCCCAATCGTCTACACACACGTGCGCACCATCTCTGGTGATCCACTTTCCCTCAAAGTCGTTAAGCCATCAGTTTACCTTTCATGAACCACCATATCCTACCCCTTCCTTTAGTGTCCCTTGGTCTCACAATACCCAACCATAAACCAGCTTGTACTGCCCGTCACCATTCCATAATTTGCTCCTGTAGTGTCCCCTGGTCTGCCCGAAGTAAAGTACGATAGCTTTATATCCTGTTTCAACCCATCCTGCAAATACCATAACTACCATAACCCAGGCTGTGGTTCCAGCCGGCCTGCCTGTCAAACGGTGGACTGCGACGGCCCACTAGCCCACCCTAACGACTCGCTTGTTGTCCCAAAAGGTCCAAGAGGTGTTCAAACTTTCGGTTGTTTCGTCTGCACTTTGAAAACGATCAAATCGTTCCCGAAATCGATCCTAAAAGCAGTACCTCTGAGGTTTTGTGTCAGTACTGGAAAATGTTCGACGGCGACGCGGGTCTCTTTCCCAAGCATTAACCTCCGCGTCGCTGGTCTTTGGTTTCTCGAGGCAAACGAGGCCCGTCTCTTCCGAAGGGATGGGTCGACGTTTAAGGCACTATGTGGCACTCCAGATCGGAAATAGATGATAGACTGATTGATGTAGAAGGACGATCGAGCTCAGAAATGAAGGAAATTGATGTCTAGTATGGCTTGATAGGCTGTAAATGCGTACGCAAATCCGAAAGGACATCCCAGGTCTGTCTGAACGCTCTTTCCCGAAAGAGTTTCCGGATCCAGACCGTCACGTCGTCCAGCCCAGCGAAGTTTCCCAACAGCCAACAACCTTCACCTCTGCAGAGGTTAGCGGTACTAGCGTAACTGTTCACTCTGATCGCCTGAACTTCGCAAATCATACGGTCGATAAACTCCTGTTGCTTCAAATTTGCGAACGACTTTACTGTCACGAACGGCGTCGCGGTTACCTCAGACCGTGCTTTGAACACGGTGACCGCCCCCAAAGCACCCTTGCAAGACCCGACCGGCCCCCTCGGGCAGACCGCCCGCCCGCCCTCTCCTCCGACTCTTCCCTCCTCCACTAGTCAACACAGACCACAACACAGCATCTAAAATCAATGGAATTCAGAATCTGAATTAGGCTTCGAATCGGTCGCTTGATTAGTCCACACTTCCAGGGACTAAATTCCAAAATTCATCGACTGTAATTCTACTGTATTTTGGCAATAAATACCACTAAATCCATTGTCTTGCTTCGTGACCTCAGCTTCGGTTTGGCTATTTTTTGCTTCAGAAAATATTCCTTGTGATACATTATGAATAATTAGATGAAAACAAATACACGAAATAGATAAATTATTCACTATCAAAATAAGAGTTTCATTTCAGTCACACGCGGTTATCAAAAACCTGATTTTCTTCGACAGATTTTATTCATGTATATAATATCACATACAAAAATAAGCATGATTTACATCTAAATATGTTTGTTACATGTTGAAAAGTGATTGACAGAAGTGGTGTGTCTTGGGCCTACAATACCAGACATCGTAAACCAATTTATACATGAAGAGGAACGGAATTTCGTGATCTCTCTCTCATGCAGTAAAAGGAACAGAGTATCGAGAACAACTGCAAGAACATGAAGAACACTTAACACTCTATACAAATGACTCCTGATAAAAAAGATGGGTTCAGGTGATTCAAATCAGTTCTCCTGAAATGATATTTATTCCTGAATTAATTACGAATGATGGTGATCTTCATTTGTCTAACTCTGCTGCACCGAAATTGGCTTGGCTATTAAAGGGATAAGTTAACTTGTTAATTATAATGGAATATTAGTGGCGAACTATTCGTCAATAGGAAGAAATTTCGCACGAATGCAAAAATACGACAAACTTGTTCATTTCTTTGACAAAGAATGTCTGGTAGGTGAGTACGTAACACTGTCTGCTTCTGAAACTACAGATCGTGTTGAAACGTTTAATAAGTCAATGTTTACTCCTGTCGCTGCGTCAAAAATGAAAGAGAAAAATTGGAAGGACTTGGATAAACTGAAAGAGGAGAGGACGGAAGAAAGGAAAATACAGATGAAAGAGAGGAGACGGAGGAGAAATAGACGAGATGGGAGAGAGATAAGAGGAAGGAGATTAAGAGGAAGACAAAGATAGTTACGAAGGTGGAGAAGAAAGATGTGAAAAGGAAGACAAAGAGTGAATAGGAGAAGAAAAGGATGGAAAAGAGGAGGAAGTAACTTGAAAAGGAAAATTCGCTTGGAAAGGAAGAGAAAGATTAAAAAGAAATAACGGACGGAAAAGAATAGAAGGAAGTTAAAAAGAAGGATGGAAAAAAGAGAAAATAGGATGGGAGGAAGAGAAGTATGTAAAAGAGAGAGAGATAAAAAAAAAACTGGGAGGAGAAGGAATAGACTAAGATGATAGAGAAAGAAGGATGCAAAATTAATAGAGGGATGGAAAAGATGAGAACGATAAAAAACGAGGAAATAAAAAAAGAGAAAAATGATTGAAAAGAGAAGACATGGAAAAGAGGACAGAGAAAAGAGGAGTATGAAAAAGACTAAAAAGATGGAGAAAGGAAACGCAAAGATAATGAATGAGGAGGTACAGTAGTAATAAACTAAAAGCAAACCTCAGCACACATCACATTACATATGACCTATAACTACTGACATACAACATGTTAAATGAATAGATTAAGACCATGCGTGGCTGCAGCTTGCGTAAATGATAAACGACAAACAAGCAACAGCCTCACAACCGCCTGTACAAGGAAAAGGAAAATAACGTACCTCATTATCATCACAAAAAAACAAAAAACAAAAAACATCTCACCAGAACGTAACAACAAAACTCCTTTTTTTCATTTTGTTTCTCCGTTTTCCCTCCAAAAAACTTGAGCAATTGCGAGTAGGAAAAAGAAAAAGAAAACGGATCCTGTGAGATTTCTAAACCAATGGAAGTTGAGAAACACGATCAATTACGCCTAAGAATTAACACTGACGAGGACGTGCCAGGTCAGGTCAGGTCATTTCGCTGAGGAGGACACATTAAGACATACTGGACATGCTTCGTCTCGTGGTCGCTGCTGCACCGAGTCACTGCAGGTCAGAGGCAGGTCACACATGCGTTTTGAAGCTTATATGGAAGCGAGACAGCCTTTTGCTTGAGGTATTTGACGCTAAGAGTTATTTGTGAAGCACAAGGTAAACCTCTTTCACTCTCTCTCTAAAAAAATATATAACACTTGCTCCGTTGAGTTTGACGAGTCTTCTAGAAGAAAGTCTCTATGTACATGTATATTTTTTCTGTCTTTCTGTTTCAAAGTTCACACAGTATTTCCCTCACGAATCAACTATCTTCGGTAGGGAACGGAGAAATGTGAAGAAGCTCGTCGTAACAGTCATCGCCAATCATCGAGGCTTACCTGGAAGAATAAGACAAAAAAAGAAAAGGAAATTAGACATATTTGGAAAAAAAGAGATTTATAATATTAGAAAGGAATTAGGAAATGGAGAATTAGAAGGACGACGTAAGAGTCATGGCCAGTTACCGAGACTCACCTGGGAAAACACGATAAAAAAATATATATTAAACAAATTGAAATAGCAAAACATAACATTTACAAATTATCCGTCTACCTGGAAGAAGAAGAACACAAAACAGTAGAAATTACACGGAAGAATATTACATTAAGATGGGATTTGCAAATATTCTTTAAATATATAAAGTGAAATGTACTTTTAATGAATTTATGTGAAAATGAGAAAGGCAAGACTGACGAAGAAGAACGAATAAGGTATTAGTAGATTGAGATTTATATCTTAACTTCTTTTAGTGTTATTTTTAAAGGGAACAACATAGACAGACAGACAGACAGACAGAGAACGAGGGAGAACGAGAGTGGGAGTAAAAGGAGAAGGAGGGAGGGAGGGGAGGAGAGAGAGAGAGAGAGAGAGAGAAGATAAAAAGAGAGAGAAAGAGTGAAGGAAAGAGAATAAGAGAGAGAGAGAGAGAGAGAGAGAGAGAGAGAGAGAGAGAGAGAGAGAGAGAGATAAAAAGAGAGAAAAAGAGTGAAGGAAAGAGAATAAGAGAGAGAGAGAGAGAGAGAGAGAGAGAGAGAGAGAGAGAGAGAGAGAGAGAGAGAGAGAGAGAGAGAGAGAGAGAGAGAGAGAGAGAGAGAGAGAGAGAGAGAGAGCGAGAGAGAGAGAGAATATAGAAAGAGAGAGAAAGAGTGAAGGAAAGAGAATAAGAGAGAAAGAAAGAGAGAGAGAAAGAGTGAAGGAAAGAGAATAAGAAAGAGAGAGAGAGAGAGAGAGAGAGAGAGAGAGAGAGAGAGAGAGAGAGAGAGAGAGAGAGAGAGAGAGAGAGAGAGAGAGAATATAGAAAGAGAGAGAAAGAGTGAAGGAAAGAGAATAAGAGAGAAAGAAAGAGAGAGAGAAAGAGTGAAGGAAAGAGAATAAGAAAGAAGAGAGAGAGAGAGAGAGAGAGAGAGAGAGAGAGAGAGAGAGAGAGAGAGAGAGAGAGAGAGAGAGAGAGAGAGGCTGATTTACAGTTGTTTGAAAAACATGAATTCCCAATTGACAAAAACAAGTCCCACTCTAGCGATAAATCCGTGTTATTCAAATATCTAAGCGCAATAATCAGTTTATTCTCTCTCTCTCTCTCTCTCTCTCTCTCTCTCTCTCTCTCTCTCTCTCTCTCTCTCTCTCTCTCTCTCTCTCTCTCTCTCTCTCTCTCTCTTTCTCTCTCTGTCTCTGTCTCTCAGTCTTATTCTTCCCTTCGCGCTTTGTTTCTCTGTCTGTCTTTCTGTCTGTCTATCTGACTGACTTTGTTCCTCTGTCTCTCTCTGCTTTTCTCGTTCTCTCTCTATATATACATGTCTAT